AACCCTAACCCTCTAACCCTAACCCTAACCCTCTAACCCTAACCCTAACCCTAACCCTAACCCTGAGGAACCCTAACCCTAACCCTGAGGAACCCTAACCCTAACCCTAACACTAACCCTAACCCTAACCCTAACCCTCTAACCCTAACCCTAACCCTAACCCTAACCCTAACCCTAACCCTAACCCTCTAACCCTAACCCCTAACCCTCTAACCCTAACCCTCTAACCCTAACCCCTAACCCCTAACCCTAACCCTAACCCTAACCCTAACCCTAACCCTGAGGAAACCCTAACCCTAACCCTAACCCTAACCCTAACCCTAAGAACCCTAACCCTAACCCTGAGAACCCTAACCCTAACCCTGAGAACCCTAACCCTAACCCTGAGAACCCTAACCCTAACCCTAACCCTAACCCTAACCCTGAGAACCCTAACCCTGAGAACCCTAACCCTAACCCTAACCCTAACCCTGAGGAACCCTAACCCTAACCCTGAGGAACCCTAACCCTAACGCTGAGGAACCCTAACCCTAACCCTAACCCTAACCCTGAGGAGAAACCCTAACCCTAACCCTAACCCTAACACTAAACTCCTAACCCCTAACCCCTAACCCCTAACCCTAACCCCGAACCCCGAACCCAGAACCCGAACCCGAACCCTAACCCTAAACCCTAAACCCTAAACCCTAACCCTAAACCCTAAACCCTAAACCCTAAACCCTAACCCCTAACCCCTAACCCTAACCCTGAGGAGGAGTAGGAGGAGGAGGAGGAGGAACCCTAACCCTAACCCTAACCCTAACCCTAACCCTGAGGAGGAGGAAACCCTAACCCTAACCCTAACCCTCAGGAGGAGGAAACTCTAACCCTAACCCTAACCCTAACCCGAACCCTGAAACCCTAACCCTGAAACCCTAACCAACCCTGAAACCCTAACCCTAACCCCTAACCCTAACCCCTGAGGAACCCTAACCCTAACCCTAACCCTAACCTCTGAGGAACCCTAACCCTAACCCTAACCCCTGAGGAACCCTAACCCTAACCCTAACCCTAACCCTTCCCTTCTCTGTCAGCTTCAGCCTCACTGTCTCCTCACTCCTCACATGCCACACATCCTACACATCCCTTTTAGTACCTGTGGCCTTTGCCTGGATATTCATTCTCCAGTGTCTCTTGTTTACATGCAGCTTGGGATTTGACAAGGGGGCTAAGGCTGAGGTAAGCATAAGGGTACTAATTACTTACAGGATTCAGGGTACCTATAGAGTTATAAATTTTTATTCCCTACGTCCTGCTTTTGTTGACACATTCAGATTTATTGTTGTAGTCCTACACTCCTCTAAGGTCACCTTCTGGTCAGTCGAGCCCATTACTCTCCATATCTTGTTTTGCCAGGTCCAGGATACATAGATTTATTATCCCAGCCTTATAAGTTCAATTTCTGATCACTTCTAAAACTGCTGATCAACAAATACCTTTGGAGGAGGGGAGGGGGAAGCATCTCTCAAGATGGCTACTGATTTTTCCCTTTTAGTCACTTCTCTCCACTTTTACATGGGGTCCAGGTTGAAACTCAGGTTGCTCTATCCACCGAGCCATCTTGTCATCCCATATACATTTAACCTTGGAAGTCATTACCTGTTTTCCAACTGTGTCACGACGTTCCCCCAGTACTGTGTGGACAGGCTGGTGCCCCTTTCCTCCGTCCTCACTAGCAGCTGTGTCTTGGGTCTCACAGGTTCTTGTAGGTATGGTGGTTTTGATTGTCATTTCTCAAACAGTGAATGCTTTGAACACTTGCTTATACACTGATTTAATGTTCAATGTCTTCTTTGGGTGATTTTCTTTTATTATTAGCTCATGCTTATTCTATGGGTCAAGTTGTAGGTGAAAGAGAAAAGCTGTCAATGGTTTTCTCCCACCTCACATCATGTATGGAACACATTATTTGCTAAGTGCTGTGGTGGTTCATGGGATGTCACATGAAGCAGGTCACAGAAATGTTGGAGGACAAGGGCAGGCACATTAAGGGCTTGCAGGTATGCTATGTGGAGGGGTGGGGTTCCCAGCTTTCCATGCAGCCCCCTCAGGGATGTGGTAATTATTACACTACAGAATCACACAGTACAGTAAGTCATTCCGTAGTGTAATTACTACACTACAGTAATTACTACAGAGGAGCTGTGAAGCAGCTTGGCAGGTTTTGCAGAGAATCTAGAGGAGATGCTGCTTAAAATAAGTGATAAGTGAGTGGTGGTCCTAGGCAGGCAGGCAGGCATGATCACTGGACAAGGGACCAACATGCACAGAGATGTGAGGTTGCTCAATCCCAAGAGGTGGCTGCATTGACTGGCTGAAGGTGGGTGGTCTCATTCTGTAGAGTGAGTGCTGTATGGGATCCCTTGACCAGGAATAAACCAACCTCTAGGGTCTTGAGAAAACAGGCAGGCCCTTCAGGAAAAATCCTGTGATCTCAGCCTTGAGTCTGGGACACTGCTTCCTTTTCCAGAGTGTACTGGTCAGGAGAAAGCCGGCAGTAGGAATCAGGACAGACAGCCTCATCTTTATTCCTTCCAGAAAGCAAGCTTAGCTGTGGAGAGACTGAGACACATCTATGGCCGGGGTGGGGCACTGCTTGGATTGTATACTTGTGAGAGAGGGGGTTGGGAATGAATGAACAGGGATCTGCTTTTAGGAACTACACATCCAAAACCTCATTGCCAAGAAATAGAGTCTTCTACCTCAGCTTCTACCTCATCCTTTCCTCCAAGTCCAGCCATTTGTGATGTGTGCTATAGGAAGGTGCAGGGAGGGGGTGAGAGCCCATTTTTCAGGTTCCTCGTGGCTTTACCCAGCAGGTCCGCATAGCGGATGTTTAGACCATGGGCATGAATGCAGGTGTGTGAGATGGTCTGCACTTAGCCGTGCTGGGGGAGGAGGTCTTTTGCTCCACCCCTTGTCATCTCTATAAATACCCTGGGGGAGAGACATCTGGGCTCATTCGAATAGTTTCCAGGTCCACTGCAGGCTATTCTTTTTTTGGTTTATCTCCACAACCTAAGTCCTACTATTTCCTGCTGTTTGCACTCAAGAAAACTCTGGAGAACCGTGGGCTTGGTGGTCCTCTAGGCAGATTTTATTAGGGTACACAATATATCACTTTTTTCAATGAGCATTTGTTCCTTTTATTCACAAAACCTAACAATCACTGCTCTGTTGAGAGAGACCCTTTTATGATTTACAGAAGACCTAGAGAAGTATCAATCATAAAACATGTCCAATAGTAAACATCTTTAAAACGTACAGACACAAACAGCTACTTTATACAAGAGTTCTCTATACAGCCCATCCATGTAGAAAAGGCCTTGGAAGTGAGTGAGTGTCAGGCCTGTTCAGTTGTCACTGGAATTATTTTCATCTCATTGGAGACTTTCCTCTCCTCTGATTCTGATGTCTCGATTCTCTCGAATGTTCAGAGTATCTGGTCGAGTTTCCCATCATCTCTCAGCTCCATTCTGATTCCTGTGGTCCTCACGTTCAGGGCCTCACTGTCCTCTACTCCTTCCCTTGCCTTGGAGCCATCTTCCTCTGAGGCTGTCACTGTCCTGATTTTGGGTCCTTTGCTTCTCCATGTGAGAAAAAGACACTCTTCTGTCTCATGGCTTCCCCTTTGGCTCAGCATGCTCGTCTGCCAGCTCCCGATGGCTCCTCTCTCTTGAGCATTTCGTGAGTTTTGAGCTCTGTGTCTCTTAGACCTTGCTCTCAGCTCAGCAGTTAAACCACTGAGACCTACGGAATGGAAGAAGTTGCTGGCAAACCGGGTATTCTGGGGATTGTCTTGAGGTAATAGTCCTTCCAAGAATGGCTGTAGAGTTTCATCTTTGAACCTTGCCTTCAGTTTAGGAAGACCCATGGATTCACAGAGCTCCTGGGAAAAGACTGAGAAAAATTCCACTAGATGATGTAGTTGTTTCTTCACTCAGCTTCCTGCAGTCAAGAATGATCCACGGAAGTGAATCCGTGCACAAAAGGTGAGCAGAGAACTGAGCGATGTTTCTCAGTTTGTTAGTCTCTAAGCAGTGGATCCTGTCATACTGTTCTCTTAGTAGCCTCATAAAGGATTCTGAGTATTCTTTTCTCAGCATGCACAACTGCCCACCTAACAAGCCGAAAAATGGTTGGTGCGCCCTCTGCTGGGCACAGCAATCAACAATCACTCTGCACAGCTCTTGTGTTTGGCTCTCAGCCAACTCCATTTTCAGCATCTTGTGTGCACATTCCTCAGCATCTAAACTGCACTGATGAGCATGATATACTGTATGGTGAAATGAGACTAGATCTGTTTCTGTTTTGTCACGGATGGATACTTTTTGTCCTCCCTCCTCTTCTCCATCTTCTTCTTCCTCCTCTGCCTTCTCCTTCTCCTCCTCACTACTTCCAGCCTCTGGGTCTGTGTTTGAATCATTGTGTCCATCAAGAATTTCATTTTTAATTGCTTTATATTTCTCTTCATTTACCATAAAATTAGGATCCATGTTGAAAACCTTGAGATCATCATCTGGATCATAGTCATCCTCTTAGAGGAGCTTGTGGGTGAACAGATCATCTCCTTCCACTAAATCGAGTCCTTCCAGAATAACAGGGTGGTCCTTGAATCTGTCCTTCCAGACAGAAAACATCACTTCAATGATGTACTGAACGCTTTTGTCCACCTCAGACTCGTGGAGAATGTTTCACAGGCATTCAAAGATGTCATTGATCCCTCTTGGGGACACCTGGGTTACTGTGAGGCCACACTCCTTGAGGAAGGCCACAGCCACCTCAATGCTGTCATCCCTTGGTCTCTCCAGCAGCAGAGTGAGCATCTGCAGGCCCAGCACCTCATGGGCCACATTTTGATTGAGAAGATGGGCCACAAAGTTTGAAGTCATCAGGCAAAGAGGTTTGTCGTTTCTTTGATAGCCTTTCTGGAAGTTCACGATCAGTCTCTTGAGGACCAGTGCTCCAGTCTGTGGGAATTTTGAGTTGATGATGGTATCCAGAGCTGCATCTACATGAGTGGAGATGGAGAAGCACTCTGCCTGCAAAACAGACCTGGACAGCAGTCCTCTCCCTTGGTCTATGTTTTCCTGAAGGAGCTCTTGGATGATAATCCTGAGGTTTGAAATATTAATCTTGTTTATTAAGCCCTGGATTGATTTCTTCAGGGCCTCCCAACTCAGCCTCTGGTAGGCTATGCTGTTTTTATCACTGGTCTGTTCCTGCATCCTCCTGAGCTTTGCAGGGGGAATAGACGCTCCCCCAGGTGGGACAAGCAGCAGGTCCTGCTCATCCTTCTTCCTGGCAGGTTCTTCCAGAGTAGAACTCTGGGGGACTGCTCTTTCTGGGCTCCTTCTTCCAGGAGGTGGGGATTTCTGGGAACTTTTCCTTGCTCTGCATTTTTCTTGGTCCCTACTTCTGTCTCCTGGGGAGGAGTTCCATTGGCATAAGTTGTGGCTCTCCGTTCTGTCGTGACCCCAGGAGGGTTTCATGTTGACCCGGTCTAGACTCCTCAAGTTGGTTCAAGAAACAAGTACCTCAGGGGTATGAGTTCCTTGATAGTTTTTTTTTTTTCTGTCTCCACAGGTCACCACTGTGGCTTCTCAGGCCACAAAGGGGAGATCCTGTTTCCACAAATCCTCTCACTGAATGTCTCTGAGTCCTCAGCTGAGAGGCACTAAGGGGAAAAAAAGAAGGATGTAGCCAACAGACCTCTAGGTCCTGTCTCCTCGCGCCTTATGTACCTTTCTCCGCCCTGCTTTTTCACTTCCTTCCTAGTGCTGGGATTAAAGACATGTGTAACACACATCTCTAACACGTCTTATTCATAAAAACCTCAGGGCCAGCTACAGGGGTAAATCTGAAAGATCAGAGAAACAGAACAAGCCACAATCAACCTCGCCTTCCCAATTTCTTGGCCGATTCTGTTTCCTCAAACTGGAAGCCTCTGTGTCCTCATATGTTGGATCTCAGCTGAACTGCTGTTAAACTCCTAAAGGCTTAAAAGTCTAAGAACTGCTAGTCCCTGGTCCTCATACCTTATATACCCTTTTGCTTCCTGCCATCACTTCCTGGGATTAAAGGTGTGTGTCACCATGATTGGCTGTTTCCAGTGTGGACTTGAACTCAGATCTGGATGCATCTCTGCCTCTGGAATGCTAGGATTAAAGGCATGGGCCACCACTGTCTAACCACTGTATAATAGGGTGGCTGTTCTGTCTCTGACCCCCAGATCAGTTTATTGGGGTGCATAATATATCCACCACAGGTGTGTGACTCCCCAGTAGTGGCATTAAAGATGTGTGCTGCTACTGCCTGGCTCTCTTTCTCTCCTCTACTGAATTGGTCCCTCTTGTGTAATGCAGGGAGTCTTGGGACTCACAGAGATCGAGACGGATCACTGCCTGGAGAATGCTAGGAGTGTAGGTGTGTGGCCCCGGCTTGGCCTCTATGTTTCATTCAATGGCTTGTTCTGTTTTCTCACTTTCAGTGGACAAAGATCAGAGACAGGGTTCTCAACAGAGAATGAAGGTGCATCTCGGGAGCCAGAGGAGCACAAAGACACCTGTAATGCAGGGCAGTTTGGGAGGAAGGTGCCATTCCCATGGGTGCACCAGACCCCTGGGTCACCAGACTCCTTCTGCCTATGGCTTTAGCTCATCCAGCTTCAGACCAGTAGCACATCGTGGCTCATCAAGAGGGCTCCCCATGTCTCCTGGGCCAGCAGGGATAGCTTGCCAGAAGCTTTCCCAGGCCCCAGAATATCCATGTATGTGTCCAAGGTGATTGCTCCTGGATGTGGCAGCCTCTTCCTGTGCCCTACATTAGACATGAGATTTCACCAGCTCTTTTCATCATGTCGAGAGACAGTACCAAGCTACCATGGCAGTGGACACATTTCCTTGTTTCATGGGATCCTTGTCCCCTGATTTCTCATACTCTCCTGCTCTGGCCATGGACATTTTCAGCCACAGTCCTCAACAGGGAGAAGATCCCCCCCTCAACTCAGCAGGGGCCGCAATGACGGGCCACTAGTAGATGCTCCACCTGGAAGGGGCAACCTACCACTTCTCAGCACAGAACTCCAGGCTCTGTCCCCTTCCATGATCCAAGAAGTAGAACCCCTACCCAACACCTCTAACCACTGCGTGCCTACAGCCAGGGCCTGCTGCTGCTGCTGCTGCTGCTGCTGCTGCTGCCACCTCTGACACCACCACCACTGCCTCCTCTTTGAGAGCTGATCACTTCCTCAGAGCCCCAGAAATGCACCAGACCGCACCAAGTCTCTTCAACCAGTGTCCAGACTCTGCTGCCCCAATGATTCTCCATCATAATGTCCTTGCTCTCCAAGTCTCTCCCCCTTCCAAAGTCTTCATGTAGCCTCCTCATCCAAAGGAAATCATTGCATTTACCTCCACTGGCCCAGCTGGAAGACTCAGTCTGAAGACTATTGGGAGGGCTCCAGCAGAGAAGAAGCCTTGGCCATGGGTTCAAGCCCATAGAAAGTTTTCATTAGCCTCCTTGCTTGTGACTACACTGGGTGTTAGGGAGCAGACCACAGTCCTGAGCTTTCTCCTGGTGAGCTTGTTAGCCGGAATCAGAACTAAGGAAGTCACAGAGCTGGGGCACTGCCTTTGAGACCTTCCCAGAACTGTGGATTATGTCTTTCTTTCCAGTGTGGCAGTGTCACCGCCCAGCCACAGGAGGACTCTTCCAGAGACTTTGGTTCAAATAATGTCAACCCTCCTTGACTGGAGGCCAGGATGCTCATCACAGTCCACAGTCACTCTTGGAGGCAACAGCTCCCCCTACACACACACACAGATGACTTCTCTCTCCAATAAACTACCAGTATCCTAAAAAAAAAAAAAGTGTCATGGCTGGTCATGAGACCCTGGTTTCCTGGTCTCAGCTTCAACACAAACTGCTACAAGAAAGCATCTTGTTAAGGTGACAGAAGTATATGTCAGACCCATGAGCATCTATGTTCTACTTCATATACCCTCTGATAGAAACCTCTGAGCCATTTCCCAAGACACAACAAGACAGGTTCATCCCTAAGGGCAGAGCAGACAGGCTCCTCCTACAGATAAGTGTGTTGGGATCAGTCCCTTATGCTCCATACTATAGCTCCAGAAGTGTCCAAAATTCCTCATGTCACCTAGGTAAGACCTGATTGCCCATAGTAGATACAGTATTGTCAGTGATGGTGACCATTATACCACCAGTTTGGCACAATCATTCTAATGCCACCAAGACAGAAAAACTATTGAGGACATCTGAGATCTAGTTTCCTTGGTAAACATTTCAGGCAGAGCAATCTGGGGCACTGCAGCTTTTGAGGGCACCCAACCACAGTGTGGCAGAGCTGTCTACCCCATCTACTGGGCATGGATGCAGATAGTAGAATTATTGGATTATATCTATCTACCTTGGGAACTCCAAGGCTAGAAGCATGGTAACCAAGAGTACCAGAAGCAAAGTATGAATGCCCTGGCCCTCACAGCTCACAGGTTTCATCCTCTAACTCTTGGGCTTTATCTTTATGAGGGAGTTACAGTCACAGAATACATGGGCTGTCAGGCTATATCTTCATGTGGTATTTACATGTCCATATGATTCACAGCCTTTGGAATGGTTATTATACCCTTGGTCCCTTGACTTTCTATTCTTTTTCTTCATGGTGGGAGCTACATCCCAGCTTCTAGCCTTCAGGTCTTCATCCTCATTGGGTTATGCCTCCAGATCCCTTGAGCTATTAACATTGACCCTGACTCAATTGCTCCCATCAGCATCCCTGCTTCCCAGCTTACAGGGACCTTAGTTAGGACTTGGTTCCATGCTGTGTGATCTAATTTCAATATAAATTGTATCTTACTTTGAAGATGCCTGGTTCCCCTCCTGAACCAATTATGATCTTGACAATGAGCTTCAAATCTTTAACAGACAATTTTGCTGCTAATACCAGATCACTTTTTACCATGAGGTACCAAAAAGCAATACAAAGTAGTTGGATTCACTTGCTGTGTACAGTACACACACTTTGTAAGCTCTAGGAATCTGGACATTTATATGATTAACACTGAATTGTGTACTTTAGCATTTAGTATGAGAAGAGCTCATGTCTTCTTATAAATTTTCCAAATTTAGGAGAAACTTATTTGATCCAATACAGTGCAGACATGAGTGAACCAAATTTATGCCTAAACATCATTATAGCCATCTTTGCCCATGAGCAAGGATACTTATCAAAAATATATTCAGGTGGCCACACTTTAGGAGACAGAAGGCAGCAATAATAGATTGGGTCAGAATCAAAATATTCTGAATCCTGACACAAAATCCGGCCATTCATAATGTATTTTGTATTAAATCTTGATGACAAGACATGAGACAAAATACAGTGTGTGTCACTAAACTAACAGTTGATGGTGCACTGGTTGGAGCTGCCTTCCCTGGGCAGTAAAAATAACATACTTTCATGAAGTTGATGACACCACCCACCATGTTTATGTGTTACCATAAATCTACAGCAACTGCTCCATCACTGAGCGATTTCATTAGATTACTGACCAATAAGCAGCACTCACATTAGGTGGTTGAATGCAGCCTGAGGACAAGTTAGAAAATGTCCATCTCCTAAGAGTCAATCTTGCTGTATCAGTGGCCTTGGCCCATGAGAACACACACACTCTGCAGTGGGTGCTGAGTTGCTATTCCTTTTACCAAGTGATCCATAATCTCTAGGTCAAAGTGGAGTACAGAACAAGCCAGAGTGGACTTGACAGCTGGTGCAAGCTGCCCTGCCACTTGGCCTTATGCAACAGTAGAGCTCATTTCCCAGAATTGTTATTAATAAACCTAATTTACATGGAACCTTATGCAGTCACAGTAAGAAAACCAAACTCTAGACACCCAGGGCACCAGAGAAATTCCATTCCATATTATCCAAAAGAAAGATTTTCTGGTTCTGGATTACTACTGGGTCACAGGAGGAAATGAGCTGTCCATGGCACCCCACATGATAGAACCCTTGATGGTTCAGATACAACTCAACTTATGAGAATTTTTTTCACCTTTTCACAAGGTTAGACAAGCATCACAGTTAACCCTGAAGTCTGAAAAAAGCAGCATTGCAGGAAATGTTTCAAAATTCCATAACATTCACTTCCTGATTCTCTAAGCATTCTAGAACCCACCACAGCTATTATTAGTGCTTCTGGTGAACCCAAGGGACAT